GTAAGACTTGTTCTCCAAAGACATGAGTCCATGGACAATTCTGGGATATTGCCTTAACTGAGCCTTGTATCCCAGAAAGCTAATATCCAAAGCATTGCCTTCAGTTGGCCCTGTGTTTCGGATATCCAACTTTCAGATGAAGTCAATCTTCAGTAAGACTTGTATCCCAGAAGCATTGCCTTCAGTTGGCCCTGTGTTTCGGATACCCATTTTGAAGAAGTGAAGAAATTGCTTATTCCGCTGAAGTCATACTTCAATTTCTGGGGGGCAAGAAGCACTCTCAGTGCAAGTATGTACGGCAGAATTGAAGAAACAGAAACAGTAAAGCATTCAAAAACAAAGCAACTGAAGAAAAGAGCATCAGATTAATAATTCATGCTCAGAAATTGAGCTACAAGTTCAATTAAACTGTATCGGCAGCCGCCCACAAGCGGAAAATAACAGCTGCCGAAATATGTACATAAGCAAAAAAAAAATAAACTGTTGTACGACAAGGCAAGCTGAAGCAAAAAAACAAGGCAAAAAAAATCAGAAAGCGGCAAGTCTAAAGTTAAGCACATGATGAACCGCAAGATTCTGAAGACGACTGCCCGAGTTCCTATGCTTCAGCCTGAGGATCAGACTGATCAGCGTTGAGCCCCATGGTGGCCTCAGCCCCAGCAGCAGAAGAAGCGGGCTTTGCACTCTGCCGAGCCTCCCTTTCCCTCTGTTCAGCTTCCAACTCCATTCTCTCAGCTTCCTCTTCGGCTTCCTCAGCCTTAAGGATTTCAGCTTCGACTGGAGTTGCATACTTCATATGAGGGTCTTCGGGATTCTGGACCCATTCAGCACATTTAGACCAGTCCAGCTTCGGTTCAGCATGAAGGCAGACTCTTCGGCATACCCATCTCATATTCCTCTTGGGTATAGACACGGACTTTGAGTAGAGCCTCAGCATCAGCCAGCTTCTTCTGGGTCTCCTCCAAGTCTTCCTTGGATTTCTTCAGCTCGTCAGCGAGCTTGGAGGAGGAACCTTTCAGCTCATTCAGCTCCTGCTGAACTTGGGAAGCCTTTGTCTGAGCTTGGGCCACTTCAACTTTTTGGGTCATCAGTTGATCCTCAGCCTCATGGAGTTTAGCTCTCTGAGCTTCGGCAGCAGCAGCAGCCTCTGAGAGTTGGACATCTTTGGCCTGGAGCAGCTCTTCAGCAGCCATTCGGCTGGCTTCAAGAGCTTCTAGACGTTGCTGCACTTCAGCTTGTGCAACAACTCCTTCCTGAATACGGCTCTCAACAGCAGCCTTGAATTTGGAGACGTCTACTCCCATATGCTCCTGGAGGAATTTTTCCCCTTCCATCAGTGGGGGAAAAACTTCCTTCTCCATAGCGTCGCAGAAGGTTTTGAGGGCTTCAGCAGCTCTTTTCTCATACTCCTCACCCTTCTGCTGCTTCTCTTCAGCTGCTGCTTGCTTCAGCTTAGCAAGCTTTAATTCCTCTTCAGCTACCTTCTTGTCGTGCACAGCAGCGTCTACCCTATCTTGTAGGGTATCTATCAGCTCTACAGTGAGAGTCTGGTTGTGCACGAACTGAAAACAGGAAGACAAAAAAAAAAAAAAAAATATATAGAGCTGAATTTCAGAGGAAATGAAGACAAGGAAAATTACCTGCATCATCAGCAGTTGGTTAGACCTGGCTGGGTCAGGAACTGATCTGCTGGATTCGCCCATCCCAGCAGTGGCCTTCAGCGACCAGATCCTTGCCCTATCTACTTCGGACATGCCAGCAAAATCGCCGAAGTAGGCTGCAGCTCCTTCTCGGTTCTGACCCCATATGAGGTCCCAGATGTGGTCTGGGATTGGAATTCGGGGGGCCGAGAAACCCATTTCTCCAGATTGCAGAGTCTGGAAAGAAGGGAAGGATGACGATGGAGCTTGATTAGCTTTGGATGGCTCAGCATCATCCTTCTCAGAGGAGTCAATTACTATGACCTCCTCTTCTTCAGGGGTGAGGACGAAAGCCTCAACCTCTCTTGCGATGTCTGCCGTGAAGCCCTCAGCACTGGACATCACGGCATCCTTGTTTTCGTGCTCAGCAGCACTCTCCTTAATTTCTTCTTGGACCCCTCCCTTAGATTCGGGAGTTCTCTGATCCACCTCCATCTCAGGAGGTGGCGGAGGGGTCTTTTGAGGTGATTGGGGTGGTGGCCGGGGAACCCTCGGCGATCCATTGCCTTCCTCGGGTTCCCTTATTGCAACGCCGATGGTCATCGGCCTCCGCTGAAAGTCATGAGGGCCGAAGATGGCCATCCTTCGGCGCCTTTTCAGAAGGGGCTGCTCGTCCATATCTGAGTCTGAAGACTCTCCTTGTATTTGGTCTTCGGGACGAACAGGAGCTTTCCCTTCTCTATGTCTGTTACTCTCTTCAGACTGTAACAGACAGGGGGGAGTAAAAAAAAAAAAAAAAAAAAGAAGAAAAGAAAAAAGAAAAAGTTAAGTCTGAAAGCTCACCGAGGTCTTCAGCAAAGCCTCGTCTTCTTCAGCTGCTCTAGCTGCAGCTTCTGCTTCAGCAGCTCTGGAGGACCCTTCTCCTCCTTCGCAAGCTTCGAGAACCCGTGCAACCTCTTCGGCTGTGCGGGCAGCTTCAGCTTCTTCGTCCAGCAGCTGAAACCAGGGGTCTCTCTTCTTCCACCAAGGCTTCTGCCTCTGATACAGAGCAACAGCCTCAATTTGGAAGTGGGAAGAGTCTAGATGAACTTCCGTATGCCTCGGCTCAGTGATAGACGGGGCCCGTTCAGTTACAACTCGTTCTCGGTTGACACCAAGACGAGCGTAGTTAATGCCAACGTTGGTCTCGTCCCGCTCTGAAAAAGGAAAGGGGAAAGGTTAGTTCAGATAGGTTGGCACAGCATAAAAAAGCGAAGCGAGAGAAGAAAAAGAGATAGTTTAAAAGCCTCGGCCCCAGCCGAAGAAGCTTACCATCCTTAAACTTTCGGCTGAGGCCAACAGCTGCTAGCATGTTCTCTTGGAAAACGTAATGCGTATCGGGGAGCCAAGTCTCCGGGATATGCTGCATTCGGCCACTGCCCCCCCGGTTCGGCAGCTTGCCGAAGATATGTTGCTGATCCAGGTTCGGATCCGCCCCGTTATCTGCGGGGGGACCAAGACTTCCCATTTCGGGATCAGGCTCAGCGAGGTACCGGGGAGCGCTGAAGACGCAAGGGTGGCCCGGATCTGTGGGTGCCCTAACCCAAATCCATTGACCTCTCCAGTCCTTGTCTGAAGAGTCGTTTGGCCACATGGTTAGGTATTGGGGCCGGGACTCAATCCGGTACCACCCAGAACCATGACTTCCGTGCCCACTTTGAATATTTGGCACTAGCCGATGGAGCTTTTTGAAGCAGTGCAGGTTCGGCACGTACTTGAAGAACTTGCAGACCCATAAGTATGTCATCACCCTTCGGATGCTGGTGGGAGTTAACTGACATAGAGAGATGTTGTAATGGATCAGCAAGTCTCGGACGAATACGTCCAAAGGGAACCTCAGCCCGTACTGAAGCTGTCTTGTGTACACCCCCACATACCCCGGGGGTGGACGATGGATTCTATCGGATGCCGAGGGCATTCGGCACCAATACCCATCAGCTTCAAAAATGTCGTAATGCAACTCAATTTGCTCGGCAAATCGATATTGATCGGCATTCTCCACCCACCATGGGTAGGGGCGGTTCTTTATCATGGCCGAAGCCACTTCGGCATTCTCCCATTCTGAAAACCCGGGGAGGATATCCCAAAGGACAACGGGAACTTCATCATCCCGTCCAGAAGTGCTCGGCTCCTCCGTTCTCTGAGGAGGAGCCGAGGAAAGGGGAGTCGCCCTAATCCCTTCAGCAGGGTCAGACTCTGGCCTTTGTCCATTCCAGGTCCCAATCCTGTTCCTAGGATCGGGAATCGGCCTTGCTCTTCTTGGAGCACGGGCTCTACCTCTAACTCCTCTTGCCATTGATTATTTCGAAGAAAAAAGTCGAAAGAAAAGGGGAAGGAGTTCGAATTCGAAGAAAAATAAACTGAAATCAAAGGAATTTACCTTAATCTGAAGCGAAAGTTGCCGATTTACGAGTTCGTAGTGGCAAGTCTCAGTTTCTAAGCTTAATGCTCAGGGAATTTGCGAAGTTTTGATGCGGGTTCTTGGTTTCTCTCTCGAGAATTCTGGGTTTGTGTTGGTGAATAAGTGAGGAGAGATGACGCGCCTCTGTTTATATCTCCAGGTATGGGATACGAGGAGTCTGCGTTTTAATTTCTCTTAAATACTCCACTAAGTAACCGTTAAACACATGATCTTGTGATTAAACTGCCCATTATCCGTCCAACTTCCACAATCATCTGCCTTAACCGTTGTTATCTCATTAATTACGGTTTAAATTCAAATTTTTGGATTAATTAAATCATTTACTTCCCTCCTTTTCTGAATTAAATCAAACCCGACCCGTCATCCTTCCAAATCGGGTCTGGGGGGCAAGTTGTTTGGGTCCAATTTAGTCCAATTGGGCCTAAGCACTAAATGATCCAATCAAAAGCCCAAGGTCAAGGTTCAACTCTCCAATTGTGCTAAAGTCAAAGGTCAGCCCACAAAGCAAGCCAATTGGGCTAAGGCCCAACCTCTCCATGTAGGATGAGGTATAAAAGCCATCATATTGATGCATTCAAGGAGGAGATTCATTCTGATTCATTCATAGATTCATATGTTCATTCATATATTCTGATATATTCCATGAAAACCTCAAGCAACAAACTCTCTTGCATAGTGTCTTCTTCTTACACATTGTACTGACTTTAGCATCGGAGGGGCCTTCCTCGGCAACACCCCCGAGGCTAGTTTACGTGTGTTTACTGTGCAGGAAACCTTCGGCCCAACATAACTTGGACCGAATCCAGCCTTCTCCATTTCAGCGGACCTTCGGCAAGGTCCCATTGTTTTCACCCGAAACAACATTAATTCAAACAAACTTTAAAATTGTCACCAAAAAAAAAAAAAAAAAAAAAAAAAAAACTTTAAAAATTATACCAGATAACGCTAGAAGGAGGGGTCGAACCTCCGACCTTGTGGTTAACAGCCACACGCTCTAACCAACTGAGCTATTCCAGCTTCTTATTATACAATTCTCCACTAATTCATTTATATCAAAATCCCAAAATACACAACAAAAACAATGGAAAAACTTCAACAAACAAAGAAAACAATCAAAAAAACAACAGAAAACAAACTTCCCAAAACCACCCAAAACCGGCGGATTATGCGGCGGCTCACCACTTTCTCTCTCCTCCGACCACCGCACTCTACACCCTTCTCCACCACCTCTGAACAAACCCCATCTCTTTACTCTTTCCTTCAACCGTCTCTCTTCTCCCGTAAACCACTGTCACCGTCACCATCACCACCACCGCCGCCGTCACCGTCACCAACAACCCCAACAATCCCTTTAACCTCCGAACACAAAACCACCTTAGAAACCACCCTCCACCATTCTCTCTCCTCCTGCAACACAGATGAAGCTTGGAAATCATTCAAGTTACTCACCAACACTTCCTGTTTTCCCAGTAAGTCTCTTACAAATTCACTCATTACCCATATGTGTTCTCTCTCTGATGTTCATAATCTCAAAAGGGGTTTTGCTTCGGTTGTTTTTTTGATCGAGAAGAATCCCAATTTGTTGGAATTTGATACTGTGAAAAGGGTTTTGAGTTCTATGGTTGTTGCTAATACTGTTGCTCCTGCTTTTGCTTTGGTTAAATGTATGTTTAAGAATAGGTTTTTTGTGCCTTTTCATGTCTGGGGTTCTTTGTTGGTTGAGATTAGTAGGAAGAATGGGAGTTTTGTTGGTTATTTGGGTGTTTTTCATGAGAATTGTAGGGTTGCTATTGATGAGAAGTTGGATTTTATGATTCCTGATTTGGATGCTTGTAATGCTGCTTTAGAAGGGTGTTGTTTTGATCTTGAATCGGTGGAGGAGGCTGAGAGGGTTATTGAGTTGATGTCTGTTTTAGGGGTTAGGCCTGACGAATTGAGTTTCGGGTTGCTTGGGTATTTGTATGCATTGAAGGGTTTAGAAGGGAAGATTAGTGAGTTAGAGGGTTTGATGGGTGGATTTGGGTTTACTGACAGGGTGTTGTTTTTGAGTAATTTGATTAGGGGGTATGTTAAGGCAGGAAATGTAGAGTCTGTCTCTAAGACTGTCTTGCGGAGTTTGGAAGGAGGGGGTGAAGACGGTTCGAAATTTAGTGAGGAAACTTATTGTGAGGTTGTGAAAGGGTTTCTTAAACATGGGAGTGTTAAGGATTTAGCAGCATTGGTTGTTGAAGCTCAAATGTTGGAACCTGAAAGTGTTGTAGGGGAAAGTACGACGGGTTTTGGCATTGTTAATGCTTGTATTGTACTTGGGATGTTGGATAAGGCACATAGTATATTGGATGAGATGAAAGCTCAAGGAGCTGCTGTTGGACTTGGTGTGTATTTGTCAATACTAAAAGCCTATTGCAAAGAGCATCGGACAGCTGAGGCTGCACAAATGGTAGCAGAGATTAATTATTCTGGTTTGCACTTGGATGTTTGTTGTTATGATTCTTTAATAGAAGCAGCGATGTCAAGCCAGGATTTCCAGTCTGCCTTTACTTTATTTAGGGACATGAGGGATGCAAGAGTATCGGAGTTGAAAGGGAGTTATCTTACCATAATGACTGGCTTGACAGAAAATAACAGGCCTGAATTGATGGCAGCATTCTTGGATGAGGTAGTTGAGGACCCTCGCATTGAAGTAGGAACACATGACTGGAATTCTATTATACATGCCTTTTGTAAGGCTGGTCGGATCGAAGATGCTAGTCGAACATTTAGGAGGATGGCCTTTCTTCATTTTAGACCTAATGGACAGACTTATTTGTCATTGATTAATGGTTATGTAGCTGCAGGGAAATACTTCAACGTTTTGATGCTTTGGAATGAGGTTAAAAGGCGAGCTTCGACTGATGACTCTGTAGGCTTTAAGTTAGACCATAGCTTGATTGATGCTTTTCTCTATGCCCTGGTTAAAGGGGGGTTTTTTGATGCTGTGATGCAAGTAGTGGATTTATCTCGTGAATGGAAGATTTTCGTAGATAAGTGGAGATACAAACAAGCATTCATGGAGAACCACAAGAAATTGAAGATATCAAAAATGAGAAGAAAGAACTTCAAGAAGATGGAGGCCTTAATAGCTTTTAAAAATTGGGCTGGCTTGAGTACATGAAGCTTATAGATGTTCCATGCCTACTTCCAGGCAAAAATTTGAACTTTATCAAATTGGATGATGGTGGCTCGTTGTCAACCCTCTTGCCAGGGCAGAAAAGAGAATGGAGGAAGTACTCAAAATCATTACTTTTTATCTGCTGCTCTTTTGAAAATTTATGAAGCATACACAGCTATATCAGGTAATTTTGTATTCCCTGCAGTCATCTTATGTCTTTATTATGTTAATTCTTTACTTCTCCATTGTAAAATGTGTTTGGAATCTCTGGATATTCTGTGGTGTTTCTGCTCCATGGTAAATGCCTCTTTTTAAATTTTGGATGCTATAAATTTAGTCACATTAGTTAGCCTGACAGTCCATGCTTGTGGCGGTTTGTTTGATGAAATATGACAACCATTGCACATTATGTACATAGTTTGACAATTCATTATGTGTTTTCAACTTTTCATTTTTTGTGCTTGTTGTTTGACAACTTTTGCTCTAATCTAAACTTATGGTTATATTTTTGGAATGAATTTGTGGATCGGTTTGCTTCTACATGCCAGGTTTTTTGGCTACATTCTTGGATAAAATCAAGTTTCACAAAGAACATTTTTGTGACTTTAAAAAAAGAAGATTGAGCAAATTTCAGTATTTATGTTGGTGATGTAATGCTTCGCTTCTATAGGTAGACGGATTAAGTTTTGGATTTAGCAAAAATGGCACTAGGCATATCAGTTCCATTGCCTTTTGGTCCTAATCATAAATTTGAGCGTGTTAAGCTTGTCTATAGATGTTCATGGGTGAAGAAACTTTTTCTTCATGGTTTTATCTTTTGTAAGTATGCTGGAGAAGTGGAGAGTAGCTTTTCAAATCTTCACTTGGGAATTGATGTAAGAATTGTGGGATTTGGATAGTAATTTGTCAGATAATGATGAAAGTATTGTAGAACCAATCCATTGATGATAGTTGCCGTGAATTTTTTTTGCCTTAAACTTGAGGAATGATTATTATGCTTAGTACCATTAGATTGATGATTTTTTTTCATTCTAGCATCATCAATGATTTTTAATTTGGTTGAATATTGAAACTCTGAGCTTAGATTCCCAACTTTGTGTGATCAGGGTTTCAAGGTCGATATGTATGATGAGCAGATGAAGTAATTTGCTCTGTAGCTCTTCTAAGTTGTTCGTATCCGCATAATGATTATTTTGGTTCTAGGACCTAGGTGAATATGTTATCACTATTTCTACTTGAATCCAAGACCGTTTATTGGTAGTTATGATTCACGTTGCATTGAAATGCTTGATTACAGTATAAGTCTACTTTTTGAACAGCCTGAATGCCGCTGACATACTGTAAGCATGTGAGAATGGCTGAGTTAGTTGTTAAGCTCACTGCGGTCATGTTCAGTACTTCAGTGTGATTTTTCCCGCCTCTAAGCTCTACTGTAATATCCTCAATGTTCTGTGTACGAACTGACAATGAAGACCATACCTTTATTTCTGGTCCTGAGTTCATTACTTGTGCTCAGTCTTTGCTTTACATCTCTCAGTGATCGAATACTTAACAGACAGATTTTTTGAGCAGTTAGGGCATGTATATATTCTGCTAAATCCACAATATATTATGAGCATCTGTAGCATTATAATCATTGTGCTTCTGAATATTTCTTAAGTGAAGAAGATAGTGGTTGAAGACTTGAAGTTTGTTGAAGTCATGAGTATTTCTGCTGTTATTGTTGACAACATCAGAATAATAATTGATCGGGAATACCTGTTTCATGGGAGGAATGAAAAGTTAGCCATGATCTGTCTATGCTCTGCTGCTTGTAAGCTAAATTGCATTTTAGATTGTTTTGCTCATATCCTTCTTTTTGAATTTGTTTTGCAGGTACTAATCAATCTCTCTCACAACTAAGGTTTCTGCCACTAAGGGCAATGCGCCTGTAGGCCTTTCCATCAGTACTTGGAATACCGAACCCATCAAGGGTAGAGTTTGTATGTATGTACTCGAAGATTATACAGGCTTATTTTAGGGCCTTAGGGGCTGTATTATTTGTAGAACACCCTTCCCGAATTAAATTTTACAAAGTATTATTTTCCGGTTACTTGTTAATTTTACTTATTGCTAGTATGGCTAGCACTCACCCTCCCTATCCTACCAAACCCGGGTCCCTTGGTAGCCAGGCTGCCCTTAATGTTTTGCTATTGTAAGGTAACACTCTTATTTGGTGTAATAAATGTTGCAATGCTTAAGATTTTATTTAGTGTTTGTTTAACTGATGTTTATAAATGGAGAAAGGTTAATAATAGTTGTAAAAGTAAGATCAGTCCAAGAAAATTAATTTCACTTCTCTAAAAATAATTTCAGTTTAGTAAAATTCAGTTTTCTTAAAGAATAATTATAACAGAAAATCAGCAAAAATAATTTCATTTCAGTAAAATTAATTCTAGTTCAGTAAAAATAATTTTGTTTCAATAAAAATAATTTCAGTTCAGCAAAAATAAGGTGAAGAGAACGGGGCCAAAGAGCTACAAATTGAGTAGTAATAAGTCTAATCACAAGTTGAGCTTTTTTTTAAAAAAAAAAGAAAAAAAAAAGAAGTTGAGCTCGAACTTGAGCATAGTTCAAAATTTGAACTCAGCTCATATAAATGTAACCGATCAAATTATTTTTCTTTTTCAAAAAAATACGTATAACTCAGAGTATAATTAGTGGATGACGAAAGCTCTATGTTCATAGATAATTTTTATATTCTTTCTTATTCAATGACCAAGCTAACTTTTGTCAAAATTTATCGTGTTTATCAATATGATTAAGTCTTTATCAATATAATTAATTAAGATATTGTCCAAAAATAATAATTAATTGAGATAATTATCAGTATCGAATCCCTGATTTCCAAATGTAACCCTAAGATTCTCTTAAACCAAATAGTACCTCAGAAGCATATGCTTTTCTACGTACTTTTTATGGCTTAAACTTGCCGGCGTAGCAGTGGGAGGATCCAATCAAGCAACTTTAAGTCAATATCAAAACCTCTGAAGTCAAGTACAACTCCTAATTAAACTTTACAAATTGAAAATTAATCCCTTATTATTATTATTATTATTATTATTATTATTATTATTATTATTATTATTATTATTATTATTATTATTATTATTATTATTATTATTATTATCCACTTTCTTCAACTCATTAACTAAATCATTAGAGTATTCCGTACTTCTCTCTTTTTTCTCCACTTGATCAAATAGATACGCCCTTCTCACAGGTCAGCGTTCACTCTATTTTTCTAAAATTCAAGCTTATTTTTCTTCATATTCTGTATGAATGTTGCTCACTAAAAAGGTTGAAATTTGCTTAATTTATTGTTTAATATGGCTAATTTTGGATACCCTTTAATTTTCTGTATCTGGGTATGCTTAATTTAATCTGGGGGATGTTGAATATGTGAATGAAAACATGAATGTTAATCTCGTAAAAATTTTGTACTAGTAAAAATTTGGAACTACATACTTTGGAATATGAGAATTTCTGATTGTAAATTTGTAATTTCAGTCATTCAGGTAGTGGGTGTTATTTGATTTATTGGATTGATGGCAAGGATTAAATGTGGTATGGGTCTGTTTCAGTGGATCGTAAACTGGAATGTTAATCTCTGAGATTAACTGGGGCTCCCTCCTATTTTTATGGGTTTCATGCCTATATCTAGATTTCAGGAGTAGAAAATTTACTTTGTATTGAAATGTGGACAATAGTAGGGAATGAAAATGTTCTTGGCTGCTTAATAGATACTTGTATATCCGTATTTGTGTTGTTTGTAACCATAATCTGTCGAAGCTTAATGCAAGTTAGAGATATCGAAATTAGTAATTGATCCGAAACTCATGTTTGAGAGGTAGGTAGGTACTCTGTGAATTGCATAATTATGAAATTGAATGTAGGATAGTGAATTTGTAGGGTGAAAAACTGATAATGTTTTGAACTGCCATATCCTAGATCAATTTCTTTAATACACTAAAGAGGGTCTATAATATGGTCTTGTGACTCTTGTCCAACTCGCATAATAAATGAGAATAATGATGGGAAACGTTGCACGAAATTGGTTGTTGGTGGATTTACAAAGTTTCATTTCTACGATTGTTGCCATAATCTTGTTAATCAACCTAAGAGTCGTTTATTTCTTCCATTTAATTCAGGTTTTAAAGGAGATGAGAGGCCTATTGCTTACTTCATACGTGGCCATTTTGGTTGCTTCAATCCTTCAATGTGCTGTGTCCCATGGGGTTCAACCCCTGTCAAAGATTGCTATTCACAAAGCAGAAGTTGCTCTCCATGACAAATCTTTTGTTCAAGTTTCTCCTTCGTTGCTTGGATTAGGGGTAAGCTTTAGTCAGCTTGCACATCTGATATTGTTTATATTTGAGGTGTAGCTTTTATAATTTGAAGTAGAGAACTTTTTATCTTAGTAGAGTTGCTTACTAGAAGTTCTAATTTTATCAATTGGCACTTGATTTCTATTAGGGAACAAATAGAGAATGGGTTACTGTAGAATTCAGCTACCCCAATCCTACAGTAGATGATTGGATAGGAGTCTTTTCTCCTGCCGATTTCAGGTAACATACTTATTTTTCCTTAAAACAGCCTAATTGGAACTCACTTTGTCTTTACTCCATATTTTGGGACGTTTAATGACCAAACTCCTTATCTTCAGCTCGTCTACATGCTTGGCAGATAATCCTAGAGTTTACCCTCCTCTTCTGTGCACTGCTCCAATAAAGGTGGGTACTGGAAATTTGGTGACTTTGATCCTTTTTTTTGGATAATCACTTGAAGTTTGAGCACTGTTTATCATCCTGCATATTTATATATGCTTCTATAAACAACTTAGTGTGTTTGTTTCGCAGTATCAATTTGCAAATTTCTCGAATCCTAAGTATGTGCAAACAGGACGTGGATCTCTGAAGCTGCACTTGATCAATCAGAGAGCAGATTTTTCATTTGCACTATTTACTGGTGGACTGCTCAGTGTATGCTTCCTGTACCTTTTATTTTATCTCTCTTGTTTTTATTTTGAGTTCTGATTGTACTCCGGCTGCATGTTGTTCTTATGTCAATAAACTGTGGCTGAAAACTAATACATCAAAATTCTGAATTACATTCATCTATCTAGTGCCATCGAACTGTGGGGTATTGTATTTACAAATTATATTCCCATTTCCCGTTCTTTATAATTGTAGTTGTGATGAATTACCGATGCATCATAAATGTAACTCTTGTAATTTATCATATTATGTTCTTTTTCTTTCTACCAACAGCCAAAGCTGGTTGCCGTCTCAAATGTAGTTGCTTTTGCAAACCCTAAAGCACCTGTATACCCACGCCTGGCTCAAGGAAAATCTTGGGACGAGGTGAGCTTCATTTCTGTTATTATATATATTACTTTTATGAGAATACAAGAAGATTTGCAGGGAAAGGGAAGGAAGAAAAAGTGAGGGATACATTTTGGCATTTTGCATATTTTTAAAAAAGACTTGGAGCAAGGGAAAGGAAATGGTGGGATCCATTTTCCTTCTCCTTTTGATATACCAAATCCCTACATTGTTTGTGAGATTTGGAAGACAAATGGATGGTCAATCTCTCCCTCCCACCTCGGCACCTCCCTTTCCCTTCATTACTGTTATCTGTTGTAGCTTTTTTTTTTTTTTTAATTGATCGTTATCCTGAAATTGTGCATAATTCTTAGTGTATTACTACCTCCTTCTTGAATGCTCAATCTTTAACGCAGTAAGCTTTTTCATTAAAGTTGGGGCCCACAACAGCACACCCACTTACATTTTTCTGTCTACTTATTCACCCTCCTTTAACAGCAAGTAAAAGAGCAATGAGCCATGTAATTTGGGATATTAAGAGCATATTGTAGTCTAAACCATATTTCTGAAATCTAAATTTGACATGATATTCAGATGACAGTTACTTGGACTAGTGGATACGGAATTGATGAAGCGATTCCTGTTGTTGAATGGGGTTTGCAAGGAGAGAAAAAAACTATATCCCCAGCTGGCACATTAACCTTTGATCGCAGAAGCATGTGTGGTGAGTGTAAATTCTTTCTTTCCTATTGCAGGTTTGAAGATTTATTCATGCTTGTTGATTGAATAAAAGCTCTGTGATTGACAAAACATCTACATTCAGATTGCTATGTTATGTATATAACTTCGTAAAAAGAAATGTTAAGGAATGCGATATTTACAGCATGGGACCTTGCTGTACCTAGTGTCCATTCCTAAGTGATTGTACTAGATGTCTAAATATATATCTGTCTAGTATGTCTTAAAAACTTGAGCTACTTTCAAATGAACGGCTTACATCTTAATGCCAAAGTGTTTTTGGTTGTCTTTTGTCTGAACTGTAGAAATCGACCTAATGAACTCCTTGACAATCCAATCGAATGGAATACAAAATGAATCCAACTTTTCATGAAACATCCAATGATCCAAATGTGTTCTGAGGTTGATTGGCATGATTGCCCTACTTTGTTGTTTGTCAGCTTAATCAGTGAAGTATGTAGTCACTCTGATGAAGCAGGATAATTTAGCTATACATTTGTTTGCATCAAATTAGCACTTGGTTGAATTGTAACACTCTCAAGTTTATTTCACTTTGCACTCTTCTTTGCATCAGTCTTTTGTTTGGAGCTTGCAGTTAATTGGCAAGTTCGAGTAATAACTAGATTCATATTATCTTGCAAGAATATCTAATCACTCTATCTTATTTGCTTTTGTCCTAGTTAATTTAATGGTGCTCATCTGAGTCAATATGTCATACAGTTTGGCAATTCATAATCACTTAATTCCATTCGTGCTTGGGCAGGTGCACCAGCCAGTACTGTAGGATGGCGTGATCCTGGCTATATACACACTGGTTTCATGAAGGAGCTGTGGCCCAACTTAGTGTATGTCATCTAACATTTTGTCATTTTGTTACATCATGCTGTCTTGTTGACTGTCTTCTATACTGTGATAACATTATGAGAAATCAAATTAAAGGTGTTAAATATTGAGTATAAGTTTAGATACATATTCAAATATGATTTTCAGATCTATTCATCTTAATTTCAGGCCTTGGAAACAAACTTTTTCCTCTAATGAAAAATCGTATGTCAAAGTAATTATCATCAGTTGAGTTTAAAGTAGTAGGCCACTACGCCAAATCCATTGCCTTTAAAATTATAAGACTAGGGAATAGGATCTAACAGAAACATTCCCTTTGAAATATAGGGGTAAGGCTACAAGAGCCTCTTTGCAAATATAAGACTAAGGTCTTGTACATCTGATCTCAGTCCTGTACACTTTTTTTTCTCCATGATCTGACGTATAAAGTTCTGACTCATGCTTAATTTTGAATGTTCTTATGTTGTTTCCTGAACTTTTTACCATCACCTTTGGACTGTAAGTTTTTATATTTTCTTTTAACGTGATTTATTTTCTTCTTCGTGCCATGCAGGTACACATATAGGGTTGGACATAGATTGCATGATGGAACGTATGTATGGAATGTTCGTTATCACTTTAGAGCATCTCCTTATCCAGGTCAAGATTCTGTTCAGAAAGTTGTCATCTTTGGAGATATGGGAAAGGTATGGGATATTTGATAGGAATTGATAGCACTTCTGGTTTCACTGGTGGTTGCATCTAAGCTTATGTTGATCTTAGAAACACATACTTTCTTCAAGGCATGTTTTATATGTCTAAAAGCAAATCTACTAAACCATGTATTGAGATTTTAAATATAATCAGCAACACAATGCATCTAAAAAGACTTCAGCAGGGTGAAAGAGAGAGGGGGGCTGGGGGGTTCATCTATATATATCCTTATACCTAAGATAGCAGAGAAGATGTTCCCAAAAACTTTTGATTTGATATTCTAGTGTTTTTTGCTACTTCACTATGAACAGAAGTGAACATTTAAGGAACCAATCCATTATAATTTAATGCATCCCCACCTCCAAGCATGTATTTTCCTTTCTTTCTTTTTTTCGTCTCATGGCCAGTTATTCATACCTAGAGGTGTGATACAAGAAAAATAAGATTTAGTAAAGAAAACATGCTTGGTAATCAGGAATGCTTACCTTGGACATTCCATATAAAAGGCCAGTTCTATTATCATTTTTTTTTATCTACCTGCCTGTGTCAATAGCTGTAAAACTGTTAGACGTCCATTTATTTCATTTGTTTGTTTTCATTGTAGTACCTTCTGAATCGTTGATACATTTAATGTTTTAGGATGAACTGGATGCCTCCAATGAATACAACAATTACCAGCGCGGTTCTCTAAATACTACTGCACAACTCATCAGTGATCTGAAGAACATTGACATTGTCTTCCACATAGGAGATATATGCTATGCTAATGGTTATCTGTCTCAGTGGGATCAATTTACTGCTCAAGTTGAGCCCATTGCCTCAGCTGTTCCATATATGATTGCTAGGTTGGTCAACTTATCTTATCTCTCTTTGAAATATTTAGTTTGTCGATGTGTATCTTAAGGTCAAATTATTTTATTTTTTTCCTTGCAGTGGAAATCATGAGAGAGACTGGCCAGGGACAGGTTCCTTCTACCAGAATACAGATTCAGGGGGAGAATGTGGTGTGTTAGCTCAGAATATGTTCTATACTCCTGCTGAAAACAGGGAAAAGTTCTGGTATATATATAGGATATCATAATTTGGGATGCAATAAGTTATTCTGTATGATCTACAAATTGATAAACCAGTAATAAGAATGAAATAAGAATCTATTGTCTTCTGCAGGTATTCCACCGATTATGGCATGTTCAGATTTTGTATTGCTGATACAGAACATGATTGGCGAGAGGGAACAGAACAATATAAGTTCATTGAACACTGTCTAGCATCTGCAGATAGACAAAAGCAACCATGGCTTATTTTTCTTGCACATCGTGTGTTGGGTTATTCTTCAGGCGATTTTTACGCTGAAGAAGGCTCATTTGAGGAGCCCATGGGCAGAGAGAGCCTTCAAAAGTTGTGGCAAAAATACAAGGTTGATATTGCTGTTTATGGTCATGTACATAACTACGAGAGAACATGCCCTATCTACCAGGTTCGTTTTCATTTCCTTTTTGAGTTGCAATATAATCACATTTAACCTCGAATCTAGAATTTCACAATTTTTTGGCCAAAATATCCTGTCATAATGATTTAAGTATTCCTGTTTTCTTTCCATAAATTAATTGAAGCACGAAAGTAACTACTTTTTTCTGGGCATCCATTATATCTACTGATGTGCTTGTTCAGGTCTTTCAGGAAAGTAACTACTTTTCTCTAGACATTTCAGAATAGCAACTCTCAAAGTCTCATTGCTTTGATGTCTTTTGTTGCAGAACACTTGTACCAACCAAGAAAAGAACGATTACAAGGGTACCTTGGGTGGAACAATACATGTAGTTGCAGGTGGTGGAGGAGCGAGTCTTGCAGAATTTTCAACCCTCAAGCCAAATTGGAGTATATTTAGAGACGAAGATTATGGATTTGTTAAAATGATGGCATTCAATCACTCTAGCTTGTTGTTTGAGTATAAGCGGAGCAGTGATGGGAAAGTTTATGACTCATTCACAATATCAAGGGATTACCGGGATATCTTGGCTTGCTCTGTGGACAGTTGCCCGGCAACAACCATGGCATCTTAGTAAACCTTGTAAGGGATCATGTTTGTTGAAGCACGGTGCCAATTTCAAATTTAGACAATAGGTCTCCCTTCTCGCTATCCCTGCTGTATAGATGCGTGATCGATTATATTATTTCAGTCAATTATAGATCAATCTAGTGATAAGCCAGTTTGGCAAAATCGCAACGACCACTTATACCAATCAAGCTTCCTGAGCAAGAACCTTCTGCCTTTCAGCCTTTTATGTAGATAATTATATGATAGGCTGGAAGTAGATGGGCAAGCTATTTCATTCACACTACATAATATGCTTTGCATTGAATATGTCCTCAATAATGGCCTAATTAGCACTTGTATATTATGTTACTTTTTAATTTTTATGCACAAGGCAAGTTGGTTGTACATGTCGTAGGACGAAGACATTCGCGTTGCACATCACCTTGTACTATAGTTTTGATCATGGTGGCGATAACAGAAATATATTTTGGTTAAGGTCGTAAGGTAATTCAGTGAAGGTGGCATCATCTAACAAATACGAGGTCACAAAAAAAGTAACGAAGGCTAAGAATAAAAGTTTAAAACATTCGCGTTGCACATCACCTTGTACTATAGTTTGATCATGGTGGCGATAACAGAAATATATTTTGGTTAAGGTCGTAAAGTAATTCAGTGAAGGTGGCATCATCTAACAAATACGAGGTCAAAAAAAAAAGTAACGAAGGCTAAGAATAAAAGTTTAAAACATTATGCAAATGCGGAAGATCGAACCCCGTGCCTCTCGCATGCAAAACGAGCACTCTACCATTTGAGCTACATCCCCTTTTTGTTAATTAAACACATTATATATAAATAAAAATTATAAAAAAAATTCTATATGACCAAAATTAGAGTAAAAATGTGTGGCCCATGCAGGTCTCGAACCTGCGACCTTCGCGTTATTAGCACGACGCTCTAACCAGCTGAGCTAATGGGCCAATTTATTTATTATTTCCATATTTAATATTTATTCGTATATGTCACCAAAAAAGCACACTTTAGTTTCTATTATTTTTGCGTCTAATATGTATTTCTAGCCAAAATTCTAGTTATTATCAGATGTTCTGCTCTTTAACATTGATCCCTCCTACAGCCTACGGACCGGGTATGGCACAGGCTATGGGATGTTCAGAACTTCAGATTATACGTAACATACACTGAAGAAGACTGGAGAGAGGTCTAGACATTAAAAACTCGTAGAACATTGCCTAGTTTGCATCAATGGACTGCCAATAGCAGCTGTGGCTCATCTTTCTTGCACATTGTGTGCTTGATGACTTGCCTTGTCAGGCTGCCAGTACAGTGCAGAGCATGGATTGCTTTAGAAACCAATGTGAAGAGAGCCTTCTGAAGTTACAGCGGATTATCAAAGTTAAAGCGTCTATTTTCAGCCATGTCCACAGTTACGAAACATGCACATCCCATATGTGCCAGACATATCAGGTAAGATTTTTTGCATAGCAGATATCCAGCTGAAATGGAATAGAGATCTTGATTATGGATTCGTAACACTGAGAGCACTTGACCACTAGGAATACTTGTTCACGTACAAACAACAGTTGGGAAGGGCAGGTTTTTGCCACTTTCACTCTTTCAGTCAAGGCATGATATTTTACGGATAAGTCAGTGTGACAGTGTGCTCTTTGAATCGTTACCAAGGTACTACAATGGCACGGCATGATATCATAAGGACAAGCCAGTCTCTGTGAATCATTCATTACCAAGCTCCTACAATGGCTTCTGACTTAGTGACTTAGCCTGTCAGCTGATCTCAGCTCTTCATTTGCAATGTCAGGCCAGAATGCTCTCAAATAACTCGATTATATGCATATGACGTATTTATATAATTCCAGCCAGTGAGTAATAATAAACGTAGGAGCAACCACCCTTAATAAAATTTGAATTTAATTAATGGCCAAAAATTTTCTAGTTTACAATATATGCAAAGGCATAACTAAACAGCTAAACAGGGACTAATTTTTTCCCTTTGAAATAAATCAAAAAACAGGAGTATAAGATCCCACAGCCAATACAGCTAATGACCAGGACCCAATTGAATGTAAATGGATTATCAAACACCGAGGTCTCGAAATTCATCCCGAAGACACCAGTGACAACGGCAAAACAGGTAACAACAAATGTTGCTGCCGTCAGCAACAATTCAAATTGGATCAGCTGATTCTGAACAGTGCCCTGTTAGAATGAAAACCAAATTGATCAAAAGCTGTTAGATCTTCTGAGTTGAAAAGGCAAAAGGCTTAATGGAGTAAATAATAGAGAAGATTTTAAAATGCAAAAAATTCACCAGTTTGATGTTGATCAAGTCCTCCGTATCATCAATGTACTCTTTAAGCTGCATCAAAAGTAGATGGCTTTTAAGTAACCGAAAAACGCAAGAATAGTGTTGAGGGAGGGGGGATCTGATGATAAAGTAACAGCTTTGAAGTAGTTCGCTGACAGACTGCATCTTTCAAGATCCAAAAAGTAAAATCTTATATACTAAACTAGAGAGAGAGATCAATTCTTACTGACGACAATTTGCTAAGAGTGTGGTCAATAAAAACAAAATATGCTTCAAGCAACATCTCAAGTTGAACAATGTCTTCCTTCTGACTGGATGAAGTCGTTGTAAGCGTTTCATGCTGGCTTGATCTGGTAATACTGCTAAAGGCCCTCTGCAACTTATGAGATCCAATTGTAACAGCCTCAGGAGAAACAGGAGCAACAGGTGAAACTGGTGCAGATTTTGATAACCATTTCACTGAATCTAAACCAACTGAAGGAATATTATCTAAGTCGGAATTCACCGCAACTGAACGAATGTTATCTATGTCTGAATCATTGGACATATATCCCTCCATTTTCTCCTTCTTCTCTGTCAGGTACATTTCTGCCATGTCGCCATCATCATCCATGAGATGCTCAATTTCATCGCGCACCTGAAAATTCTATAACAGCTCAAATATGGAGTATACACCAGCTGACCAACTAAAATATTTTCAGGGAGTGCAAACTTGAACTTTTTCACAAATGTATTTTAAGAGTTCGTCATCCCAAAGTTATATAACCCACAAATGCCTCTTGCCTCAATCACACTAATTAATCAATGGGCTAAGTCTTCAACCTTTGACAAAATAATACCAGTGCATCAAGCAAATTGAAGAGTTTACCTTTTGAACTCGCTGAGTCAGACTAAGGAGGTTGCCTTTGAATCTCCGAACACGTTCCAGGTTCAAAGTGCTAATAGATGATGTCAACTCGTCAAGCACTGGACGTATCTCTGAGGTCAATTCTTTTGCCTGAAGAATTTCAAAATTTATATAACAGAATTCATGATGAAACATAAAATCAAGTTTCAAAAGGTAAGCTTTGGTTCTGGCAAGCAGAATGCACAATTTCACAAAATTGGGAATTAGTGTCAAACCAGACAAAAACTCTAAGTGCCAATATGTGTGTTACACTGAAATTTTTAGAGTACTCCCTTTGTTCCATAGAAAGTGGTTAACCAACATTTGAGTATTAAGAAGTGTACATAATGAGTGAAACAAAATTTGTATTGGAATAGTTGTAATAAGGGAAGATGATTGGTGAATATACTACATTCATTCATTCAATTAAAAAGGAGGAAACTTCACTGGAAACTATCACTTTCAGTGAGACAGAGGGAATATGTCGCAGAAAGCTTAATCATTTTTACTTCAATGGAATGTTCTTTAAGTACAGATCATTGCATGTTTCTTGCAGATTTTTTAGCATCAGGTAAGATACATCAAGCTATAATGCATACCTGGGCATCCAGGGACGTGCATGTTAATTCCAAAGCCAATTCAAGTGCTTTAAATTCAAAAGGCAATCCATCTGTAAGAGCACACAACACAAACAATTTACCACAGCTATTTTTGTAAAAGACACAGCAAAATAATGTGACACAAATCACATCACATGACAAAAGACAATTTTCAGCAGACACGTATTTTTTCTTTTCATTTGATTTAAAACCAGCAGCAGCTTCCTTTTGCAAAATTACCCTGTAAAACTTAATCAAGAGGCAGACTACATATATAATGTCACGAAAATATCAACCACACGCTCATATAGTGTGATCTGAAGGACCAAATCTAATGTTTCAGGAAAAAAAATGCTACAACACTACAGATTCAATAATGTCAGTAACTCTAATTTTAATGTGATACTCCAAAAAATTACTCTATATGTTTCATAATGTTGTCTTGTTTTCAATTTTGCCATATTTCAAAATGAGAATCCTGGTTTTAATTCCACTCTACAATTAATACACTAATACAGCAAGAGCTATTATTCTTGAAAGTTATCGCCCTCTTCCAATCTTTGTTACAAGTCAATCAAGACAAACATTGTGAAACAGAGTAAAAAAACAAAAAAAACCAAATAAATTTCCAAGAACAGAGGTGAGATAATGAACACTAAGGTGTGCTGGGAGATAAGAAGTATCATTTTAATTCATTGAGAAGATGCAAATCCACTATGAAAACTCCTATGTTCAGATAACTAGTAAGCATGTCTGCGTGTTTACAGCCATATATGTTTCAAGTAAATTTTGAAAGGATATCTAATCTAAAAAAAAATTTAAATTACCAGCATGATCTCTGGTTGCTTGAAGTCGATTACACAACTCTGTCTTATACTGCATGACAGAGCCATCCAAAGAGTTCATCACAAAAGCCTCATCAGCAGTGATTACACATCTAATCTGCTCTAAGTTGACGACAATAGCCTTCTCTCTGCCCAATATGGCAGAAGGATAGATGAACAAAGGGTCCAAAAGGCGAAGATCCCGAGAAGGCAAGGAACAATTTTTCATAATAGTGGACTTATCAAGCTCCATAACTTTTGCATTCCCATTCTGCTCAATCTTTATCCATGAACGACTTCCATGACCTCTCTTCTTTACACCTGAATAGCCAAATGCATGCCCGAAGGCACCTGCCCTTGCACCACCACTGGGAACACCTTTATTAGAATTTTCTGACTTCTCCATCACCTTTCACTAAATGCTCCCTTGTCTAAATCTGCAGAACTTTCATAACAAGAGTCTGCATCAATACATATCAACTTGGCTTTTCTTTAAACCCCCCCATCTTAGATTTCCAAGATGCTAATATATTTCATCTAGGAAGTAAACTTCCCGGCAGCAAATGTGCAAAATCCCAACAATCCTGCAAATTCAGAACAAATCTCCCATTCACCTTTCCACACACGCAAGTTCGGGTATCATATACTACTTTATCATATTGTGGAAGTAATGCTGACACAGGAGTAAGATAATTGTGCTACTAGAATTATTTTTTAAAACAATAGTACAAAAAGTGGTAACAATGTAACATCAACTACATAAGGCAATTTTACACAAAAAGTAAAGCAGTCCACAACTCCGCAACACCTCATGCCAACTTGGTCAAATTTCTTTGATTAACTAAAATATCTGACAACTTCAGGCACGCTAACAGCACTAAGGGATTGAACACCTTGGCCTTTGAGTATCAAGTTCATCATAATACGGAGTAATAATTTTGAGGCAACAGCATGTACTTGCTAAAATTTCAAGGTCTACCATGGTCATCTTGGACCTTCAAGTTTAATAAACTTTGTTGACAACTCTATGTTTTAACTACACAATAATAAAGGATAATATTTTAGATCTTAAATTTGTGGTCAAGGCAACTAGTTTTCTGAGAACTTTTGCTTAAATAATAGTGTAAATCATCTCTACCATTAATTATCCATTGTCCGTGAAGACGGGACGCCTCAAATGTAAACCGTTGTTTAGCCATTCAACATAGCTCAATCAATGGCAAACAAGACAAGTACTCCCTTTGTTTCATATTACTTTATGTCAAATCGTTACAAATAATATGAAATGGATGTAGTAAATTGTCTTACTACAATGGCAATACCAGAAAATTTAATATACACTATCAAGTAGTTTTGATTGATTGCACAAGAAGTTGATACTGGAAAATGGAAACTATGTAACAAAGCAACTTTCACAACGATTACATCTCTCATTTCCGAAATTCAAAAACATTCAAGGGGGCGAGTTTCATTTGGTACACCAGAGTCACAAAATGATTTTAGTATTCAATATTCTCTTTCAATTAACCAAATAATTCAGAAGCAATACACCATAGAACACAATCAGCACGTCGAAAAAAAGCATCAAGCCAATGCAATGAATCAAATAAATGGCTGCAGATTCAACTGGTGATCAAGCTCAGTAGTACATCGTATATCAATTGGCAGACAAACAAGATAACTAGAAATTGTATATATAACTATTGCAACAACAATTGGCTGACAAACAAGATAACTAGTACTGATATTAATAACATTTGCAACAACTACAACAAACAAACACATCCACAAACACTGCAGGATATGCACATACATATAGCAAGAGAGTACAATTCCGTCCCTTCGGACTTAATTGTCGCATAACTAGTTCAAATTACACTATCAACGCGACTATCAATTCCGGGACCAAGGAATTACATGAATTAATCCCCTCAGATTTTCGTCCAATTCCAAACAACTAAACAAAAATCAGCAACAACCCAATACAATACAGAGAATTTTAATCAAGTACACCAAAACCCCATCAAATTCTTACCCTTAAAAATGAAATTACATGTACCCAATTGTTCCAATATGACATTAACACAAAAGTAATTGTATGAAGAAGCTAAGAAGCGGGAAATATTACCTGGGTAATAATGATTAGGTTGATAAATCCGCCAACTAATTCAAGATTGATCAATCAACTTCGGCAAAGAAGAGGAGAGAGACGAAAAATCAAGCTAATGATCGGGTAGTCTCAGAATATTAATGGGTTGAACTTGTACTTGTATTTGTAATAGTGTATAGTACGTTGTAAATGTAAAATGTGAACCTTCCTCCCCTAAGCATGGTTTTAGTGGTTATTAGAACACAGTAGTAGATCATTTGGATGCTAAGCAACAAACGTCACCATCTCTATATCCTTTTTTCTTTTTTTTTATATACAGAATACGCGTAATAAATATCGCCGAGTTAGATCGAGTTGGGTCGGTTGAGTCAGTTTTTAACATCTCTTTTAAATTAAAGAAGATATTTTTATATCATTGTAGTGGGTCGGTTGAGTCAGTTTTTAACACCTCTTTTAAATTAAAGAAGATATTTTAAAACTTGAAAAGGTTGAGTGGGGGTAGGAAAAAAAAATAAGAGAGATGGTGTAAAATGTGAAGGACGTAACCGTGTAATATAAATGTGGTTCAAATTATTTCAGATTTTGAGTTGTTGTTTCGAGTTAGGGTGTCCATAATTAGATTAAAATCAAATTCCAATTTAATTCAAACCGAATTATCAACTAAAACATTGAAAAGTTGAGTGGGGGTAGGAAAAAATAAGAGAGATGGTGTAAAATGTGAAGGACTACATAACTGTGTAAGATAAATGTGGTTCAAGTTATTTCAGATATCAAGTTGTTGTTTTTGAGTTAGGGTGTCCATAATTTGGATTAAAACCGAAATCCAATTCAATTCAAACCGAATTATCAATTTGAATTGGATCCGAACTTTAAATCGGATCATATCGAATTGAGATTATTTGAAATTTTGGATTTTTGGATTGGATCAAATTGAACCTAATCGAATCCAAACAAAATCGAAAACCAAATTTTAGAATTATGCATGTATAATATGGAAGTGATTTTGTCTTAAGTCTTAAATTGTAGAATGCTGCTTCTTAGTATTGATATTTAGTGCATGGAGTAATTGTTGTAATGGACTAATGTTGTTGCCTTTTGGTTGTACTAGTTATTTTGAACAATTTATTTTGACTTGATGTTAAACAATTTATGTTAATCATGACTATTTTCAAGAGTTGAATTAATCTTAAGGATTGGACAAAATGTTATTTTTGATAATTGCATACTTATTATTTTAATATTATTGTATTAGTCTATTAGACGCTATAAATTTATGTAATATAATTCGGATTTTCGAATCGGATCCAAATAAAATCGAACTCTAATTCGGATTGGATTGGGAAAGTAATTTGGATCAGATCAGATTGAAAATTAAAAAACCGAATTATATTTTGGATCGCCGGATTGGATTCGGCCTAAATCCAAACCAAAAACTGAAAGGACACCGCCTCTAGTTTCGAGTTCAAATTGGGTCTAGGGTTAGGTATTTCAAATTGAGTATAGTCGGATATAGGTAAAGGGATATTCAGTTTGGACATGAGTAATCCAAATTGTTTCATTCAAGTCGAACAATTGAAAGTCATGAGCTACGGTGCATTTGCTTGTAATCAAGTAGGTTCAACTCGGGCCAATTTCATTTTAGACCAAAATTAGTTATTGACTTCGGCTCTAGCTCTAACCATTTGGGTTTAGAATCATTATTTGGCATGCATGCATGTCTAATCTTTTTTTACCTTAAGATACATTTAGGGGTATGAATTCAACATATGATTTGAGATTTTGAGTAAAAAGGCTTTTACTTTGGACATGGGTCAATGATGAGGATCTATTCAGGGAAAGCGACTTTGAATTCTAATTCAAATACAACATCTCAATAAGATGAGGATAAAAGATATTACCATCTAAAAATTCGCTAATATGCGTTGTAATAAAAAGGAAAATAAAATAAAAAAACATGCTAGCTATAGAAGAATTACAATGAACAACAAGTAATATTGAGGCAAGGTCTTTTTTTTTTTTTTAGTTTCAATTTATCAATATAATTAAGTCTAGCTACCTTGAGCTTCGCAATGCCTCTCGTCAACAACCCTATTCCTTGACTCTATCCCTTTTCTTTTTCTTTCTCTATTTGCACCCTACCTTTCATAGAACCCAAAGTCTTAAACTAACAATGCATTAATAAATTTTTTTTTATAAAAAATGATTACCTAGAAAGTAAGGAAATTTTTTAGTAATTAATTTTTTTAGCATAGTATCCTCATCCAACACTTTATTCTAATCATTTTGTTTATTTCATATAGTTTTTCTGAATTGTCAAGGTGAGGAAATTCTTCAAATTATTTTAATTATTCTCTATATTAATGTAAGAAGCTAAATTGTTTTTTTTTTTCCTCAGAAATATCACAATAGCGGCAATTCTGAATGGTCGATTCCATCTTTTTTTTCCTTAGAAGAAGGTGAGTTTTTTTTAATTCAACATTGCAAATAACATTGACTAATTTCTTTTTCTTATAATTTTTATTTGTTTTTCTCAATAAAAAAAAATATGAACCAAATCAACAAAAAAAAATCAATTTTATTGTTAGATATAATTTGAATGAGTTTATGTAAACTTTGATGATTTATTGATTGTATGCCTATTTTAAAGAAGTGTGTGTACATAATATAAAATAGTTTGTATTTATTTGGAACAATTTATCCCAGTAATATTTTGATTGAATAAAGAAAAAAGAAGATGATAAATATAATTTTCCCTGAGATGTGGGATATACTTTTAGAGTTTAGACATAAAAAATCATGTTTTATTGAATTTGCTTAATGAACCAAGTTTGATCAGATCAATAAGGTAATAAGTGAATTATTAAAATTTTCTATCCAAAGGTAAATGATGAATATTTATTGCTTCATTAAGGTAAACAATGAACAATGAACAATGTTATTATTCCAATTTTTTAGCATGGAGTGTAAAGCATTGTTTCATAGGCTTTTTTCTACTCTATCTCTCTAAACCAACAAAATAGTTTAATTTTCTTATCTTTAAAAAGTAGTTTAATCATTGCAACAGGTTGTCATACAGGTGATAAAACTTCTTTACCAGATAGATTATTCTATCTAAATATAGATGATACAAGTTCTGAAATAACGCAAAGAATAATTTAATGACCTTGATCTCATTTAAGCTCCTGCATCGCCATACCTTGGTGGATGCAAATATAAGGAGATCGTCGAAATCTATTGGAAATGGTTGTAAATGATTTTGAATGTGATCTATTTAGAGCGGGATACACCCAACTTTCAACTCAACCTGACATTGTAGAAGCTGATCAATCTAACACACATGAAAGGGGAGATCGTTGGCGTTTGTTGTTTCCTGAGGTTGTCCAAGACACAAACAATTCCAATAGCAACATCAACAACAATAATGTTCATCATCAAAGGTATGATAGCCAACATAGCAATCAGTCCAACTTAAGCTATGTTGGTAGAATTGAAAGGGGAATTATTGGAAGAAGACATAATAGACAAATCTCCATCTTATCAGATTCTTCAACCGAGGACATAATTTTAATAGACCATAATTTAATGGTTAGAGGTGAACAATCAAACACAAGCAATGATACTATTTCTATGGGATCTCCTAATTATGTTCATACAAATATGGAAATTGACTCGAGTTCAACTAGTATTGTTACAGACATCTTTGGACAAGAGGAACTCGAACATGAATTTGAACCTACCAAAACATCGTTATCATCAGAAGGTTCATCCGAATATCCAATGGATAAACCATCTATCCAAGTTATGTACAAAGATGATGAAAAATACGATCCACAACGAATTCCATCCTCGGTGTTTGAAAGATGTGATTCTCTTATACCCGCGGAGTGGAGTGCAACGTCTAATGAATCATTATTCAGCATTCATATCGGTAATTCTAGTATAGGAAGAGAACAAGCTCTTCTATTAAGCGGAGAGCTGAAGAATCACGGTGGAGTATTTCCCAAACCACGAGAAGAATTTGATCTTGATGGAAATAATTTACAAGAGATGAGAAAACTTGCAGGCTTATCTAAGACAAGTGATGATCAAGGTAATAATGTAGTAAGCACTACTTCAACAACAACTATGCTTGGGTGTACAAATAATGGGAAAGTTGAACATGAGAATAAAAAAGGAGATAAGAGAGTAACAATTGAAACAGATGATGAAGACGCTACAAAAAAAGAAAATAAACACAAACAACAAAATATCCACTCATCTAGCATTTCCTTCCACTCCAACACAAGTGAAGATAGCAATTTTTCCTTTGCTTTCCCAGTGTAAGCTTGCCTTCATTTATACGTCTTTTTATTTGACTTTACTTGATTGCAACACAGCCTTGTGGCACGCATTTTGAGGTTGAGATTATACAATGTAAACAGATTAATTATTTAAAGTAAATTTTACACATGTAAACGGACTAATTATTTATTTTTTTCAGATTTGGCGAAGTGGGAAGGAATTCTTTCAAAAAAGGGCATCGTCAACAACAAGTAGACATAAACAGCCAATCTGCGCCTTCACCACCCGTGACAGCCAAAAATAAAGGAATATTTTCTATCTTTCGAATTTTCTCTTGCAACTCTTGTCGGAATTGCTCTTCTTGCTGCTCTTGTGTTTCATGCTCAACTTTCACGTCTTGTTTCGCTTGTCCTTCATGCTTCTCTTGTACCTCGTGCTTCTCTCCTATTACCTCGTGTTTCTCTTGTGCCTCTTGCAAGACTTGTTGCGGTGCTCGTTAAGAAAATGATGTGCTCAACCCTCCTTCTCCGATCCACTTACAATTATTATTAAGGCATTTATATAACTCTTTCTTTCTCTATAATACAATTATGGTGGATTTGTCGAATGAGATTGAAGTCTTTGTATTTTTCATATTTATCAGCCTTAGGCATGTTACGTATATGTTGCCTAACAAATCATCTAGAAGCATAAGGAGAAGATGAAAATGGTAAACGACCATGTATAAAAAGGTTTATTAGAAGCCTTTTTTGGTCCAAACGCGAGTATTGTTTAGCCTTTTTCTATATTAGAAAAATGTGTAAATTTGTACATGTTGTAATCTGTAGAAACTTTTTTAGGAACCTATTTAATTAGATAATTATATAGTTATATATTGTTTATCAGTAATGTTAACTTTAATTATAATTTCTAGTGTTTAAATAGTTCAACTTTGGGGATGAAAATGAAAATGATAATTTCTAGTGTTTAATAATAGTGATATGATTTGCAGTACAATGGTTTAGTAATTACAAAAAGTAATAACAACTTTGGGGAAACCCTAAATTCAGGCAATACAATAAATAAAACTCATGAAAGTTGCTTGCAACAGTTAGTTCGGAGAGCATGATCCACATTATCATGTTTCTAACGTCCCAAGTGTGCATGAGCAAAAATGTGAAGCAACAATATAAGCATGCAAGCTAAAACTTTTCCCTTGTTCCTTTTCCACTTTCTCTCATCAGGTGTTTTTTTTTTTTTTTTTTTTTTTTTCTTTCTCATTTTCTAAGCCAAAATTTACTTTTTTTTAAATAAATATATTAATTAATTAAATCTATATTGTTGTTCAATTCTATACGTTAGGTTATATTTTCT